CCACGGACCTATTGGACCTAAGCCCAAAACTCACAGGGTAACCGAGAACACTTAACTTCTCCGCCTGAGAAACATTAACTATATGTTATGCTACTTAATGTTTTGACCCGTTTTTCCTTTCTCGCTTTTTTGACCCATAATCAGCTTGAGTGAGCAACTTGCTTCTCTTGGGTCTCAAAGCTGGGTGGGGGCTGTGTAATAAGCCGGGCCTCCACATTAGACTCTATGTATATACGTACTCTTAAGCAGTACGCAAATTACAAACGTACTCTTAATAGTACGAGGAACTTAAGTTTCCTAAATGTGCTCTTAATAGCACGAGGAACTTAAGTTTCCTAAAATGGGTTTTAATAGTTTTATTAATTAAACCTTTTCCATTTAACATATCAGATATTTGGATGAGGCCATTGAAAGGCCTCAGTAAAATACCAAACTTAAAAAGAGTTGGTCTAGTCCTATTAATAGAGCTTTATTTACTTTCCAATTTTATTCGTATCTGAATACTTCGGCAGCGAGATGGCTCAACCGAATATAGGTTTCTAGGGACTATTAACGTTACCTAGTTGATCCTCCGATAAGCCAACCAGATGTGCCAGTCTGATGAAGGCTAAGTAGGTAATTCCTGATAGTGGCAAGTTATTGGTTAAGACAATAACTAAAGACGTCAAGAGTATTTTTATTTTTATTTATTTTTTCTAAAGATAGGATTCTATGAGTCTCTCGGATTCGCCCCAGAATCCTTCGGCGGAAACAGTACTGAGAGGATTATATATATAGGCAATGTCTCAGCCTCACAATCCCTCAGAGTATTTATGTTTTCACGAGGCAAACCTAACTTTATTAAACGTCTCATTTCGTTTATTTATATCGATATTTACACGATATAGAATTTATCTACGCGTTTATTTATTCTAAGGCATTAGTATCGCCTTTATTAGACCGAACCTTACAAAAACACAAACGCCTACTAAATAATAACAACAACACTTCTCTAAAATTCTAAAACCCTACTACTCGATGATGATTTTTGCAAGACTAGCGGGCCTCAGTCTCTTGTTGGTTACAACTTTTGCCGTTGTTGTTGCCGTTCCCGTTGCCGTTCCCGTCATCCCGACACACCGTTTTCTACCACGGATGGCACCTCTTACCGTGGTGGACATTGCGTGTCCACGCAGTTTGTTAACGAAACGCGAACCGAGGTATCGCGGATCTGACCTGTGTACTACCAATATATCATCGGGAAACGTCAGCGTACACACCCACATGGTCAATGGTGACATGGCCCGTACGCGCAGCATTATGGGTAATGATACACGTCGTGGTCACAAAGGTTACCTGGAGGTTACCGTATACCCGCGCTTTTTTGGTTCCGTAATCGACGCCATATCGGGATTTGTTGATACTGTGACGGACGCGGTAGACGGCATTCCAATTGTTGAAACCGCCGTGTCCTGGGCCTTGAGTCCGGTTACGGGCGTACTGGATACGGTTGACGGTGTTGTGAACGAAGTGATAATGTGGTGGGTGCTATCAACTACATCACCGGTAATGATGAGAATGAGGAGGACACCGGAAGTATCGGTAGTAGCGAGAGCTGTCCCGGTTGCCCGGCGGCCTGGATGGGGGACGGGGTCTGTGACGACGCTTGCTATACGGCATTCTGCGGCTTCGATCTGGGGGACTGTGATGGAATGACCGCTCCAGAGTCAGAGTGTGCGTACGGATGTTTCGACTACTACATTGCGGACGGCATGTGCGATGTAGCGTGGAATGTGACCAGCTGTTCCTACGACGGCGGTGACTGTGATGCGCCCGCGAGCAAGTTTTTTAACGTGAACACTGAGGCTTTCCGCATGAGTCACAATGGCTTGTACATGATTGCAGGGGAACCTGAGCTCGGTACTGACGGCGACAACATTTTTTGACATTACCAGTGAGCTGTGGTCAGCCTGGTATTTTTCCGGGGATTATATTGTGAGCAGCATGAATGACTATATTCTTGTGGACTACTCTTCATTTGACATAGTTAAGTTGATGGTGCAGGTCAAATTCGAGGTGTACGAGGACCAGAAGTGGCATTTTGTAGACTGCATCTAGAAAGATCGGAAAGTGCCGTCACAGGAACGCTTAACATATGCATTACCGAGTTAAAATCCAATAAAGTATATATAAAATGAATCGTTTTCAAACCGAGTGTTGACAGCAAAAGTTTAAGCCCTGTTTCTTTTTTCTGTAGGGTTTAGAATCACACCGCGACACCTGGGTGGAACATGAGGATGCGCGCCGCAAAATCCCTAGGGTTATAGGGTTTTAGGGTTTTTAGGGTTTAGGGTTTTAGGGTTTACCTAAAAACCCTTGGGGTTCAAGGTTTTGCATTGATATTTGTTCGGCGACTCATCAGATGTGGCGGATTGGTGATCCCCCCGTCACGTACCTCACGAGCATGACTCCAAGAACAGTATAAAATGCTGTGTAAACTCATTTTACACCACAATATCCACTACTATATTCAACTTTTACAATGGTTCATTCTCAAACACTCACCAGTATCTCCACCGATGTATGGTGTGGCATCCTTCCATATCTCGATGCGAAGGATGTTTGCACGCTGCCCAAGGTGAACAAGCACTTTGCTGCACTCAGACATCCAATTTTACACCTGAGGTACCGAACGGCAATCTGGAATGCGGTATCACATACACCAGAAGTGTTTCCCATTATCCGATCATTGAAATATTCCGGCGACAACCTTTAAGATATTATCCAATATATATATA